GAAAACAGTACTACTAATGAAGAAAGGGGTCCACAAGGTCAGTGCTCAAGCCAGTTCTTAGCTGATCTGCTGCTCTGACTCATCTGACTGATCCCTGATATGAGTAATTGAAATGAGCTTCCTGTGTAGGCTGGGTGTCCGTCCTGGCCTGGGAATATTTTGGGATCATCCAGAATGAGCTGGAGGGTGTTGTTGGGTAGACGGACGTCTGGGTTTCCCTCCTGGATCTGTTCCAGGCTGATATGATCTCAAATACGTGGCAGACGGCAGATGAATAGATGGAAACCTAAAACCGAGCACTGTCATAATGCAATTGCTGTTTGAACTAGTAGTGTGAATCTTTGACACACTTGCCAGCTAAACTGATTCACTGAAATAAGATTCAGTTGTTTGGAAGCACACAGGCAGGAGGGAATATGAGCATGAGATCTCCGGGCAGTAATTCATTTAGTGTTTTCTACGAGATACCCAGCGACAAAATAACTGCAAAAGTAGCTGAGGATCATCATAGGATGAGAGTATGCCTCACAATTAAGTTTTACAGGTGTGTGCGTGCGTGCGTGTGCGTGTGTGTGTGCGTGCGTGTGCGTGTGTGTGTGTGTGTGTGGCAGGTGGAAATATTTTTGAAAACATGGAAGCACAATAGCACTAGGTGAGATTTCTTTACAAGGCCAGATAGAAAAGAATAACTTAGAGCTTGTAGGATGTCTTTGAATTTAAAGAAGAAACTCAAAATTGTTTGGTTTTATCCAAGTTCTCATGCCTGGTTCTTGTGTTTTGAGTCATTTTTTTGTTTATGTGATTTAGCTATGTTTAGCGTTTATAAGCTGTAATTCTGGTTACTTAGCACTTAGCAGACATTTCTCCTGAATTTCTTTAATATTCTTGTGTCAGTAATCAATTTCCGTCGCGCCCTTCACAGCTGCTATGCATTACGTTGGCTAGACTGACCTGATGCTGGTTCCACTAATCACTTCCTGAGCATTATGGGTACATAATCTTCTGTTGTGTACCCATTCAGTTCCATCCCAGGTCGACTCTTATTGATTTTCTTGCCATTTCTGCTTCCTCCTGAGTTCCTGCACGTTCTGCTTTGCCACAAAGCATGACAAAAGAAGAATCCAGAGATTTATTGCAAACAAAGATCTACAATCTCACAGAAAGTGTTTGTTCAGGTGGTCTTAGTTGATAGGAGAAGCTGAAAGGTTGAGGTGGCTTCCTAATTACAACGGAGGTAAGAAACATGAGAAGGGACCCGAGCAAATAAAAAAATTGTAGTTAAAAAGACAAACAACTCTGGAACGTACTCAATGACAGAAAATTGCTCTAGATTGTAGATATTTCTCCTCTTATTGCTGGTTTCCTATCGCTACTGCAATACAGGTTTAAAAGGCTAGTGAATAATTGTGGAAAACAAGTTTTCCTCGGGGCAGTCTGTCAAACTCATGCTCTTCTAAAGATTTGTAACCTACTTCAAGTGACTCATGTCTCCAGATTTATATCAATGTTTTATTTTACCACAATACACATTATAGATGGCTCTGAAAAGCCTGGTTTTACCTCGTCGTTTTATCTGGGTCTGAGCCGAAAGCACATTTTTCACAACATTAACTGGTCAGCTGACTGTTCTGATCATTCTACTGGTTCTGAACGACCAATGAGGCAGAAATTGAGCAAAAGTGTTTCACAATGATGCTGTTAAATACGCGAGGGAAAATAATTAGAAACATGACGATGCAGGCAAGTCAGATGTACTTTGGGCTCTTGTAGATTTGCAAAAACCATTTCTGCATAATTTGGCCACTTTTAATGGGTTGATAGAAAAGCTTTTAAACAAATAGGTTTGCTGGTGGTGGGACATTTGATTCAAATCATCTGATCTCAGAGAAGATATTTTGGGGGGGAGAAGCCAGCATTACCAGAGTCATAAATTACAGTGCTTTAAAAAGTTTTTAACCGGTCTTATTTTCTTCACACATTGCTTTCATGGACAGCTCTAAATGTTTTTATTTTTCTACTTTGAATCAATTCTACTTTTGCCTTCCTGAAGGTTTGTCGTTCTCTGGACTTTTAA